CCATGTACATGTGTGTACATCCATGTACATGTGTGTACATCCATGTACAAGTGTGTACATCCATGTACATGTGTGTACATGGGTGAATATATGTATTCATGTGTTTACATGGATTTACATATTTTACTTCTGTGTAGATGTGTTATCATGTTCATACATGGATTTACATATTTTTACTTCTGTGTAGATGTGTGTACATGTTTGTACATGTGTGTACATCAATGTACATGTGTGTACATCAATGTACATGTGTGTACATCAATGTACATGTGTGTACATCCATGTACATGTGTGTACATCCATGTACATGTGTGTACATCCATGTACATGTGTGTACATGGGTTTATATATGTGTTCATGTGTTTACATGGATTTACATATTTTTACTTCTGTGTAGATGTGTTATCATGTTCATACATGGATTTACATATTTGTACTTCTGTGTAGATGTGTTATCATGTTCATACATGGATTTACATATTTGTACTTCTGTGTAGATGTGTGTACATGTTTGTACGTGGATGTACATTTGTGTACATGTGTGTACATTTGTGTACAAGTGTGTACATTTGTGTACATGTGTTTACATGTTTTTACATGGATGTACGTTTGTGTACATGTGTGTACATTTGTGTACATGTGTGTACATTGATGTACATGTGTGTACATGGGTGTATGTGTACATCCACGTACATGTGTGTACATCCATGTACATGTGTGTACATCCATGTACATGTGTGTACATCCATGTACATGTGTGTACATCCATGTACATGTGTGTACATCCATGTACATGTGTGTACATCCATGTACATGTGTGTACATCCATGTACATGTGTGTACATCCATGTACATGTGTGTACATCCATGTACATGTGTGTACATCCATGTACATGTGTGTACATCCATGTACATGTGTTTCCAATTGCAAATGTTTGGTTACAACGGTTGGAAATGGAGCATCTTTATCCTCTTGATGAAACGTAATCTTTGTCCTGTTTGATAGGCTTTATGAACTGCAGTATTGTGAGGAATAAAAAAGAAATACCTTTTCGCTCCAATACAATTTCGCAAAACTGCAATCGTGGGGAATCTTTTTATTCCTCAATTTCATCAAAAACGCAGACTTTCAATAACTTTTAAACGTACTGTATTACACGAGTGAGAATATCCAACGATACGTTCCAGCTACTATACACCCAGCAAAATATTTCTTGAGTGAACAGGGTGATGTCCATGTTGTAATCAAAATATCCAGTACAGTGTATTGAAGCGTCTTAAATAAGGCCGGTTAGAGAAATATTTCATAATTTTATGCAATTTTTAGCGAGCGAATGAATTATTTAAAAAACGCGCGAGTCAGCGATTCGTGGTTCTTGGAATTTTTCCTCCTCAATGTTTATGGCATATGACACCTAGGGTACATTAAGAAAGCAAGCATTACCTGAACTAGTTTGAGTTTGTAGATGTCGCTCTAAATTCATCTTCGCATCGGCAGGCACATTTCCTTTAAGAATTTGCCGCTTATTCGGACTGCGCTCAAAACCGTGAAATATTTTGGTATTGCTGCATATATTTGAGAGATACAGGTAATTTGAATTGAAAATTTTCTTTTCCAATATTAGAGAACCTCGAATACGGTACTGTATTGTCTCTTACTTCTTCTTGAATTTCAATCTCAGAATGAATTTTGCCTGAGCCCTGGAATATCGTCGAGGAGAATCGAAGTATTCAATTTTTCTTCGCATGCGTACGATGACAAGACCGATTATTCAAGTTTTTTCCACACGGAAGCCGCGATTTGGTTTTCGTCAGACGACCTATTTATTTCTAACAAATGAGATATAAACTACAGTATTGTACTGTACAATATATAATCATGAACGAAGTGTCACGTTTACCCGGCAATTGAGAAACTGCTTCCCGCGCTGAAAATCCCTCTAGCAGTAGTCTAGCTCATGTTGCGGCGGCGAATCATAAGCAGAAATAAACTGAATCGTCTAGCCTTTGAGTTCGACTCATACATAATAACACACAATCCATGAATGAAATCAATTCCAGCGAGCTAGACGGATCGATACAATGAATGAAATCACGTCGGCATGAAAGAATGATTCGACTTGGCGCTCTTCGTTTTGCGTTTAGTCTTTCCTCTAAACTTCAAAACGAATGACCAAAAAGTTTCCAGGACTTCCACAAAAGTGAGGACAGATGCACCCAGCATGAGACCCAATGCACCTCCGATGTCGCAAAGAAGAGGGATTTCAGTGTATGCGAACGATTCGCTGATGTCATCATAGGTCATTTCCTACAAGTAGAATATTCAAAATTCCAGTAGATATTTTGAAAATATTTGTACTTGGTTCAGATCACAAAATCAAAATGGCCTTTTCTTTGAAGGCGTTTTTGGAGGAATTCGAAAGGATTTTCGACACCTCATGATGATATAGTGAATGCAGTTCGAATTGTGGATCTCACTAGTTTTATTTTTATTTTTGTATTGTACCGTACTTCTGGGTACATTTTTATTTTTCGACTTCCAAATATCACCGCAAATGTCGCAAAAATCCATTCTTTAGGGATTTTTCATAATAATTGAACTGCAATCCTTGAGTAAGATTTGCTCTTTCTTCTCATGGAAGAGTTCCTATACGAAACTGCACCCTTCGCAGGGTATTCAATTTTTAGAACACAGAGAAGAAATTAAAAAATGACTTCTGGAATTTCACCTGGTAATAGATTCGTATCCGACTGGCGTTTTCGTTGGAAAGAACAGCTTCCCCATGTGGCGTGAAGTATGTTTGATCGCAACTGCGAGCGCAAAGGCAATCGTTCGGGTTCCATTGCCCTGAGAAAAATAATTCCTTCGCGGCCTTTTCTGCTGCGACGTAGGATGATGGGGTTTCGCAGGTCGGTGCATTCGGGATCACATCTTCATCGTGAGAACAAAATGAAAAGAATTCGTCCATAAAATGCGCAAGACTTTTTTTTGCTATGGAAAGCTCAATAATAAGGGGATGAAAAATTAATCGAGAAAAGCATTCCCTTGCTGCTGCGGAAAAGTTAAATATTGACACTCCCGAAAATGTTTGAAAATCAAAAGCAATTTTTGCGTATAATCAATCTTTTTTTTATCCACGTCGACAAATATATTTTTTTCGTGATGTACTGAAGGTTAAATGGGAATCCGTCTCTTTCATCAATAGCAATTTTTTTTCTGGCGAACCAATTATCTGCGCACAAGAACATTCAAAGTACGGATATAATTCCAAGGTTGCATTGCTCATCCATGAAAAACCCGACGATGACGAATTTGATGCAAATATTTGTGGTACACATTCATCTCTGATTTTTCCGGGAAAAAGTATAATGCATATAGTGACGTCCAAGGGAACCGTGGGTCTGTTTGAGGTCTCCTATTATAGTGGTTACTTCCCGAGGGAAATCACGTGTTCTGCCTACGAATCGCCCTCCAGAAAAGTAATAACATTTTTTGTTTGTTTAGCACAACAAAAAGAAAAGAAACTTTGCAGCACGGCCAGATTTGTTATGACTGTGCAGGTAAATTTTTCTGGCATTCTAATTCATGGGAAAAAATGTTGAACTATTTTTACCTCAAGGAATTTTTCGCGCAGATTCTCTGGATACACCGTTCTGTGATGAAGAGGAAAATGACGGCACTTGAATAATGACTCTGTCTCCGCCAAGTTAATGCACAACATTTCAAAGCTCACCCTAGACAAAACATATACAGTATTTTAAATGGAGGAAAATAAACTCACTGGCGACGTATGGTAACAAGCAGCCTGCTTTTCGTAACAATTCGTCAGAGAAACATCTTGTGGTGCATTTTGACATTGAGTAGCTTTCGCTGTCGTCACAAGGTCGTTGTTTTGTATTCAATGTGCGAAACTGTCGCAAATATAAATCACCGCGTAATATTTGGATTAAAGAAAATCACCAATGTATACGAATGATCCAAAGAAATAAACACAGACCTGCATTTGCGAATTCTGCACAATGTTTTAAGGTTTTATATATATGTACTTAATTTTGAATTGTTTGCAGCATTGAATTATATTTATTGAGAGCAGACGGTATTTTTCCTGCGTGGAGGGGTCATTATTATAATTTTTTATTAATGTGGAAATTTAAAAATCGAAAATCTGAAAATAGTTGTTCGATAGGTATTTGAAGAAGTTTGAACGACCATCAAACGTTGAAGACACGTCTTCTTCCAAAATTTATTAAATTTCAGCATTTTCCCTCACTGAGTTCACGCATACCCATCATCTGAAAAGATTTTACTCAAACTAATGAATCAGATGAATTTTTTTTTCCTCTCACGTCGCGAATTTGCAAACGAACGTCTTTGCTCCAGCCAGGCAAAACGGTGAAACCATGCGTTTGAATGTCGAGGACAGGGATATCCTTTGGGTCGTGAAGGTGAATTTTCCAGCCTACTTCGCTGGATTTTATTATCGGAGTTGTTTCCGTCATTTTCATGTACATATTATTAAACATGCCACTTGTCGACACGGTGCCATCTGCTGGAAAGACGAAGAAACGCATCTGTAAGATTTTTTTTCAGCACAGTTCTGATAATGCCAAAAAATTAAAATAAAGTCTTTACTCGAATGATGAATTTTGTATTTTCTGTAAATTGTAAGTAGATTGCCTTCATTCTTGCAATAAAGATACGTTGTGCGTAAAGAAAGCATCGCTCCTGCTCATGCGAAGGAAGCATAATATGGGAAGATATACATTGTAAAACAAAAATCCACTATTGTTAACCACGAAAAATCTATAGTAAGAGCGTGAACCTTGAATGATAACAATATAAGGCTTCATAAATACTCGTATGAGATTACGCTTCAGCATTCAAGCTGCTTGTGTAAGAGTGAGAAAAATTCTTACTCAGTTCATATGTGAAGCAGACCCCGGCCACTGTATAAATAGCCTTCCACGTACCTCTCATGTTGCATGTCATGCCACGCCCGAACCAACACTGCGAAACAATTTTAAAACCCGATTAGATGCCTGGATTCAATCAAATTTACCGAAAAAATACGAGAAAGAGTCGTCAAGAGAGTTGTTAGATTGATCATTTAATAAAAATCGACGTAATTCTTGCACTTTCCAGCCAAGTTAAAACATTTTCTGACGAAATCCACATCATTTTTGCATTCAAAGTGCCAGTGAGAGGAGTCAGGGAGCTGAAACTCTCACCGAGGGTTTAAGGTTTTAGCTGGATTTTGGCACGTTTTTAGGCAGTCGAAGACCATTATCAGAATATTATACAGTACTAATTATAAGATATATATTTTAGGTGACTGAAAAGTCTTCGTAAAATGTTTCTAGACTTGACAAAAATTTGTAAACAGAAACTCGTTCTGATTTAAAACCATTTCATCGGTGGTTTTGCATTCAATGGCTTCTCAGAATGATGAGCANCATGTACATGTGTGTACATCCATGTACATGTGTGTACATCCATGTACATGTGTGTACATCCATGTACATGTGTGTACATCCATGTACATGTGTGTACATCCATGTACATGTGTGTACATCCATGTACATGTGTGTACATCCATGTACATGTCCACAAACCCGTTCCCTAGTCTGACCCGAAATACAAGGTCAAAACCTCCCGACGACAACCTTGTTGGGAAATTCCCAATGCATGATGACCTTGCATTCAAAAATTACGCCCTTGGTATTTATTTTTGGGGGAATTGAGCGACGGTTTCATGACGAATTTGACACGTCACTGTCTTTTTTTATTTTTAAACAGGAAAATTCAAATTTTTTTTATAGAAAAATATTTGAAATACTCTATATAATTTTTTTATGCACCCATTGATTTTTCATTTTTTCTCCACCCTCCGTAAACGGATAAAATATCCCATGTGCACATACAGATATTTACAAATTGAAGATGTACCTCGGATAACGGACTTATTACATTATTGACTTTGCACATGAATAAATAAAATATACCATTTAAAAATCAAAGCTGTACCTCGGATAACGCACGTCTCAAATTTTAGACTTAGCTGGTCTGGACTAGCTTCAATTTTTTTTTGTGGATCCTGCTTCGGATAACGGACTGCAGGAACATTGATTTTCCCCGCCTTTCAAATGGGAGTTGCGATTGGAAAATTTTGCAGAATTTTTATGATAGGGCAATTCAAAAAAATTTTAATTGGATTCTCGCGAAAATTGACAGCAAGGAAATCGCGTACGGAACAATAATAAAACCGAAAATATGATGGAAATTTTTGAACTCACCAACAGGATTGCGTCAGATGGCGTGACGAAAGTTTCCCTGGAAGAAATTCACGAGGATGGAAGCAATTTTACGAAGAATTCAAATGATTTATATACAGTATCTATAGAAAGGTAATTTTCGTCATTGAAAAAAAAGAGAAGATACTTTTGAGAAATAACAGAAATCGTTTGAAGCAATGCAACTGAGTTTTTCTTAATGTCAAAATGATTTCAGAATTGGGATCGTCAAAGCTAAAAATAGGTGATGAGAATAAACCCCGTTTCTCCGAAATTTTCACTTGTCTTTCTATATTTCAAAATTAATTCTTACATTTACTTCAAGTAATTTCATCACTGAGCGGAATTTTTTGCAACAGCTGGATTTTTTCAAAAATCCACTTGGTGACGAAATGACGCGAATTTCACCATCACTTTTTTCCCAGTTCTTGCTTCACATTTGACCAAACTGTAAAAGAATTTTCAAAATCAATGATTTCTCAGATTTGCATGCCAAATCCAAATTCTCAGGAATATAAAAAGAATCTGCATACATTCACAAAAAAAGAACATATCCCCAACTCACATTGTTCCAAGAATAAACGTGTGGCTTTGATGCATGATCTGACATATATGAAGGAAAAAGACATTTGAGAACTTCAATGCTAAAAAAAAAGCATTCCTCTTCATTTATATTGAGCATATTTATTTTTCAAGTTACTTGTCTTGAGTCATATAATTATCTTGGACATGAATTTCATTGAAATCAGATGAAAAATATTCAGTAAATTCGATATGAAATTTTCCATTGCAAAACACACTTTCGGCATTTTGTTTCACATTAAAGTGAATCAACTTTCTTTCCAGCTCTTTTATTTCACGGTTTAATCTCGCATATTTCAAAGCAAAATAGAAGGGTTGCATTAAATTTCCGACAATAATTTCAAAAATTGTTAAAAGACTTGATAGTTGAAGAAGAACTCAGAACACCTCTTCTTTTGCACGAATGCGTTTTATTAAAAGACGCATTCAAAATCTTTTAATTTTTGTTTATACTACATGCAGGATTTTGTGCGTGATTCGAGATTCAAACGTGAAGTTGTTACAAATGCGAAAATGAATTTTAAATGACAGACTCAGCAATTTCAGCTTCTAAAATGAACTGATGAACGTGGTTTCAAATTTTCAAATAAAAATCAGATTCTTGAATCCGAGGGTCATCTGAAGAATTATATCAATAATATCTTGAAATGAATCGGCACATGTTACAATTGTTCAAATGGCAAAAACCCACGACCATCAAAAACTTCCACGACTTTCTTCGGCGAAAATGTTAGATCAACTAACGATTTCTGCTGGAGATTGCAGAAGCAAAAACTTGTTCCAAATCAACTTTTGTTCTGGATTTTCCCTCACATAGGAAAAGTTTCGAGAGGATTTTCATAAGCTTCCTTGTTTGTTTGTTTTTTTCCTCTGCATACCAAAACAGGATTGCATCTTAATCTTCTTCCTCCAAACTTGTGCCCTTTCACAAAGCATGAGTCAAACGCGTGGCAAAACCGGTTGCAACTGGTGGCATCTGATCAATCCAGAGATTATAAACGCAACAACGCAGACGAATTCTTTTACTGTATGTGAAAATGTAGGTACAGGGTGTGCCAAATAAATGAACAGTGTATTTAGGAAATTTGAGAAGATTCTGTATTCGAAAGATTCATCCCCTGAGAAAGTTGGGTTGCCATTTCAATTTTTTGGGGTATTGTGATTGTTTTTCAAAATTAAAAAATTAATAAAGAATTATTAAAAGTCAAACATATTCATACAATCCATTCTGAAATTCTTTTCCATTTTTCAGTCATATACCAACTGAAAAAAAACTTGAGTTTGCCACCAGAGGCGCTGGGGTGAATAAAGGAAGTCAAACCAATAAAAATGAGCCTTTTTTGACATCCTCAAAAGGATCAATTAATTATTTTGCAGAATTTTTTGGATTAATTTTGCCTCCAAGAAGATGATGGATTTCAACAAAGATTTTAAAAATGTCATGGTATGATCAGTGATCCATGCCACATTTGCCAGTGATGAACTCAATTGATCAGTTGGTACTTGGTGCATTATATACAGATTTGAAAGTATCTTCATACTGTGGTGAAAAATTTTTTTCAACAGGATTCTCTTAGATGAAGTTTTACATTTATTAGAGTAAAGAAAGGAAAGAAAGTCTCTGCAACATATGCTGCAAGCATTTTGCGCATTAATTATTGAATATGAATTCCTGGAAATCATTAACCCTTGTGCGGCAAAGTCCGACTATTTTTGCAAAATTTTGTTGTACATCAGAGAGGATTGGAAAAAATGATAACAGGTGGTCAAGGACAAAGTTGGAAAAAATCCCATGCTTTTTTCTCTGAGCACAGAAAAATTTTGTGGGCAAAAAAAATTATCAGTTCCACTACTGGCTTTTTTTTGGATTAATCCCGACTTTGCCTCAGCCCACCTGGAAGGGTTTTGGTGACCTTCCCAAAACTGAAAAGGCCCAAGGATAAGAAAATAATCCGACTCCATCCCGCTATGGGAAAGAACCCTCCGCCATCCAAGGGTGAATAGCTTCCCCCTCCTCAAAATTGCAGTACCAGGTACTTCCTGGCACCAAAGCATCTTTGTATTCTTTGACTAGATTCTTGACCCATGAAAGGTCTTTTCTGTCATGTAAAGTAGAAACCAATGAAGTTTAAATATCTCTGAGTATATAAGCAGCTCATACTCAATCATATCAATCATCAATCTGTAGTTGAGTGGAGTTGTACAAATTTTATCTGGAAAGTTTTATTCCAAAAGAGAAATGCATGTACTCTCAAGAATGTGCAGAGTTGCTCACAAAGGTTTTTTACAAAAGTTGGTTAAGAACTCTTGTGCTTGTGTAACCCAGAAACCGAATTGCAATTATTTTCTTTTCTCCATATATGGAGAGAGATCCTTCTCTACAAGGTATCCGTTTCCTTGCAGCTGTTCCCCTTTTGTTTTGGTTCCCCCTCTCTCACGTCGGCCCGCATTAATGCGTGACGGTCGTTATTGCGCGTTTCTCCTTTTCAACTTGCTATTTGTCGACAGTGACAAATGACTTGCACTGCCTTCTTCTAAACTGCTAATTTAGAAGAAGCCTATTCCGCCGAACT